GGCGTCCGTGTCGTCGCTCTTCCTGTTCTCGGTGCTGGTGTTCGTGGCGGTGCGGCTGTGCAGGCGGAGCCGGGCGGCGTCTGCGGGTCGCTGCTCGGGGCCTGAGGGCCACTTTCCGGGCCACCTGGTGGACGTCAGCGGCGCGGGGACGCTGTCCCAGAGCTACCAGTACGAGGTGTGTCAGGAGAGGATCTGGGACCAAGGAATTTAAGTTTTTGAAATCTGTTGTCTCCATTGCTCAACAGAAGTCTGTGAATGATGTGGAGGAAAACACATTTTGTAAATTTTGGATTCAATTAGGAATTTGGATGAAGGTTAGTTCTTTCTAAATATGATAGGTCTCCATTACTGCTTTGGTCCATATAGAATGTCTTTCTTGGGTGTTTTGCTGATTCCACATTCCTATTAAAGGGATTAGAAATATTCTTTAAGCATATCCTCATATTTACTCTGTTTTTTAAATTTCTATTTTGATGGAAACAAAGAAATTTCAAATGTATTGCATTACTGAAAAATCATCAACATGTGGTTCAGTTTATCAACTTTTCATTATCGAGCACTGTTGATTTGAAGATGACTCCAGCTCCATTCTCTATTTGGTTGTTAAATGGAAGCTCTAGATTTTTGAGGTTGTGGTTACTTAGGAGGTATCATTCATTAACATAATGAAGCCTATGTTTAATCTGATATTAAGCTTACCTATCTTAAATTTTTAAATGGATAAAAGTTCTGCAAAAAGTGCATATTTTTGTTTCACGGTAGTATTAAATAGAAAGGCTACAATTTCTCCCATATTTAAGGGCTTTTCTTCTATAACAACCTTCAATATATCATATCTATGAGTATTATTAAAAGATTATTAGATTATTTCAAGATACTTAAATGATAGATCCTTTTTGTCTAGCCCACCCCATCATGTTAGGTAAACTTCTCTCTTCAGTTGAAGTGTACTGTTGCAGCTACATTTATTTCACTCATTTCCCCTTGTGACTTCAGACAATCAGACAAGATGGTAGATATTGCTAATCCAAGCTGAGCAAATCTGACTCTTTTGTTTAAAAAATGGCTTTAGAAATCAGATCTAAAATAGTTTTTCTCTTGGGCACCTGGGTGGCTCAGAGCCCATCATCAGTCTCTGTACTGACAGCCTGGAGCCTGGATCCTGCTTTGGATTCTGTGTCTCCTTTCTCTGGCCCTCCCCCACTCATGCTCTGTCTCTGTCTCTCTCTCAAGAATAAGTAAACACTAAAAAAATGTTTTATTTATTTAATTTTTTAAATTTATTTTTGAGATAGAGAAAGACAGAGCGTGAGCAGGGGAGGGGCAGAGAGAGAGGGAGGCACAGAAACTGAAGCAGGCTCCAGGCTCTGAGCTGTCAGCACAGAGCCCTATGCGGGGCTTGAACTCACAAGCTGTGAGATCAGGACCTGAGCTGAAGTTGGTCGCTTAACCGACTGAGCCACCCAGGCGCCCCTAAAAAAATGTTTTAAAATAGTTTTTCTGTTAAGAACTTAACAAGAATGTGATATCATGTTGGCTAAATAAATGGAAAGAAACACAGAAAGTCAATCCACTTAGGGAAAAGAAGAAAGGAGATGCCTAAAAAGCAACTTTACAGATTATCCAATCTCTCCCAAGTCTGCTTTCTCCTTTGGGTTTTTGGAAACAAATATGTGCTCTTTTAATAAATCTCCTTTTAATTATGATAGCTAAGTGGATTTTTCCCTTGTCAAAAGCATGTTTAGATATTCTTTCATGGGATGAACTTTACTATTAATTGGAAATTTTTAACTTAGGGTTTTTATATTAATGTAATATTTGGGATCAAAAGTTTGTGGAATATTAGTAAGGGATAAGCACAAGCTTTTGTTAAAATGTATGATTTTGAGAAGAATTGGTGGCTATTTTCAAATTTTACAGTTTTTGGAATGTCTTATGAAAATTCGACATAGGAGTTTTTGAATATAATTAGTGTCATAATAGCATTAGGGTGAAATAACACTGACAATGTGAAATGTGTTCTAAAAGAGATGTATACCTTCTTTGTAGAATCTTTATAACCCGGTTGTTATGTTCTGGTTTTTGTTTGTATTTTAGAATCTATTCCATTGCATAGTGGAAGCCAGAGTGTTTTGCCATTTGATGAAATACATTTAGATCACTCTGAATTATTGCAAATTACTATTCAAAAGAGCATAGAAAATGGCTACTTGGGAATATGGGGTCTTGTTTATCCAGCTCATATAATGAACTAGGGTCCCAGAAAAAAAGGGGGTCTTCTACATTAGGAGGAGAATCCATCTATGAGAATTTTAAAATTAATTGTGATTTATTGATTGATCTATTCAACAAATATTTGTTGAGTATCCACCATGTGTCAGGGACTGTTATAGATGTTGGGGGATGTGGAAGTCAACAAAACAAAGTTCTCAAGCACAAAAATGACACAGAAAAGACAAAACTAATTATGTATGTATATGCTATATCAGATGGTGGTCAATACTAAGGAGAAAAAGCAGGGTAAGAGTTATAGGACTTATATGCATTTTCCCATAGTTTGAAAGTTTCATAAAATCATAATTCTCTGACCTTATGTTGAAATGGCATCATAAACTGGAACTAACTGGTAGTTTTTTCTTTGATATGATTCAACCAATGGGAACCACAATTCTGTCACATACACTGCCTAGAATTTGAAAGAAAATCCAGAAGAATTAACCCTTTCCTTTTTGCTGAGGGAATTTTAAGAAATCACGTAAGCATATGCTGTTATTTTTATAAGATGATATACCACTATTGTCTTCTTTCACTTCTCATCTTTCGGAGCACCTCACCCATACTACAGGTTTTAAAAAGTAAGGACCATGTTTAGGTTCTTTGCTGATCTGTTTCAGAACTTAGTACATAGATATCAATAACACTTTTTTTAAATGAAAGAATGAATAATTATAATTGCATGGTTTTCTGATTACATCATCTCCAAACCATTTCCAAACTCCTAATAGCTGGCTAGATATCATACAGAGGGAATAAATTGTAGCAATTCTTTTCGAAGACAACGCATGGTGGCGCTGCAGGCTAAGGCGTAAAAAAAAAAAAAAAAAAAAAAAAAAAAAAAAGCCCAGGAACTGCTACGAACTCTACCTTAGATCTACAGCCGAAGACAAAAGCCTGTAAGCAGAGTTCCGGACTGTAAGTCTTACTACTCACCATCATTTCTGGACAGGTTACCGACTAAGAGATCTATCACCGTCCCTAAGGTAGAGCTGAGCCCCGTTTCTGGAAAGCATTTATGGAATTAAAGATGGAGGTCGGAAAAGAGTGTTTTCCTAAACAAAGGCAAGTCCTGATTCTCTTTCTCATGTTGGGAGTGGCTCTGGCAGGCTGGAAATCCCGACGCTATTCCGTGATGGAGGAAACAGAGAGTGGTTCGTTTGTGGCCAATCTGGCCAAGGACCTGGGGCTGGGAGTTGGGGAGCTAGCCGCGCGGGGAGCCCGGGTGGTCTCTGAGGATAACGAACCCCGCTTGCAGCTTGATTTGCATACCGGGGAATTGATACTGCATGAGAAACTGGATCGGGAGGAGATGTGCGGCCCCACAGATCCATGTGTAATGCATTTCCAAGTGTTACTGAAAAAACCACTGGGAGTATTTCGAGCAGAACTACTGGTGAGAGACATAAATGATCATTCTCCTGAGTTTCCTGAAAGAGAAATGACTCTGAAAATCTCAGAGACTAGCCCTCCTGGAACCGTGTTTCCACTGAAAAAAGCCCAGGACTTGGACGTGGGCAACAACAACATCCAAAATTACAGTATCAGTTCCAACCCTCATTTCCATATTTCTACCCGCACCCGGGGGGATGGCAGGAAATACCCAGAGCTGGTACTGGACAAAGAGCTGGATCGCGAAAAGCAGGCCGAACTCAGCTTAACCCTCACAGCGCTGGATGGCGGCTCTCCACCCCGGTCTGGCACCGCCCAGGTTCGCATCTTGGTCTTAGACGTCAATGACAATGCCCCTGAATTTGCACAGACACTCTACCAGGTGCAAGTTCCAGAGAACAGCCCTGTAGGCACGCTAGTAGTCAAGGTCTCTGCTAGAGATTTAGACACTGGGACAAATGGGGAAATATCATACTCCTATTTTTATAGTTCCCAAGAAATAAGCGCAACTTTTGAGCTAAACAACCTTTCAGGAGAAGTTCGCCTACTTAAAAAATTAGATTTTGAGACAATATCTTCATATGAGCTGGAAATAGATGCGACTGATGGTGGGGGGCTTTCTGGAAGATGTTCTGTCTCCATTGAGGTGGCGGATGTTAACGATAACTTCCCAGAACTAACGATTTCATCACTCACCAGCCCCATTCCTGAAAATTCTCCAGAGACAGAAGTGGCCTTGTTTAGAATTCGAGACCGAGACTCGGGGGACAACGGAAGGATGACTTGTTCCATCCAGGATGATCTTCCCTTCGTCCTGAAGCCATCAGAAGAGAATTTCTACACCCTGGTAACAAATGGGGCGTTAGACAGAGAGACAAGACCCGAGTACAACATCACCATCACCGTCACCGACTTGGGGACCCCCAGGCTGAAAACGCAGCACAACATAACCGTGACGGTCTCCGACGTCAACGACAACGCCCCCGCCTTCAGCCAAACCACCTACACCCTGCGCGTCCGCGAGAACAACAGCCCCGCCCTGCACATCGGCAG